GCTTACGTTTTAGCAATCTATAGACTATTAAACTTGTTCTAGTTTTGAGCCATTATATAGTTAATTTACTTTCTTTATATTAAATAGATCTAGATACTTGTCTTAATTAATCTAACTTAGTAACTTAGTCTGTAGATCTGTTTTCTTCTTCTTAGTAAGCGTTTTATTAATATCTGCTAAACTAATAGTAAAGACTTATACTTTTTTATGTTTTTGTGATTTTATAAGAAGATTAAAAGCTGCCGTACTTACTAGTTAGTAGTTCACTTATAGTAAGTCGTTTTCTTGCTTTATAATTAATCTAGTTTCTCTAAAAAATAGTTTGTTTTTACTAGCTTATAAGTCTGCTTTCTTAAATTCTATTTATAAGTAATTAAGAATTATCTTATAATCTTTTAATCTAGATACTATATAATAGAAGAGACTCTGTTTATGTCCTTTTATATTTATTTTTATTTTAGTAACTTCTATAAGTTATTAGTCTTTATCTGATTCCTTTTTTATATTATTTATTATATAGAGAGTAATAAGTATATATTATAGGCTGTAATAAAGAGTATAATATTAGTTAATTAATTTATAAGCTTTTTATTCTAAATCTATTAATACTTAAGCAAGAAAAACTTAATTAATTACTACTAATACTAATAAAGATAGTTTAGTTATTTTTGTTTTAAATAAACGCTATTCTTCCTTTATTACTTTATTCTTTAGCTCTTACTTACGCTTTCTTATAAGGGCTACTTGTTTTCTGACTTAATTACCTTCTCTTCTCCTTCTTTCTTAAGTAATAGAGTAATAGCGATTAATACTTTTTGTGCTAGTTGCTGCCTTATTTCTTATCCTTTAGGACGTTATACTAAAAGAAATAAGTATTAAGAGATAAAATATTTATTTGCTTTATATTATATATAGAGTCCTTAGTCTTTTCTCTTTTAAAGCTTACTACTTATTACTTACTTTATATATTTCTTTTTACTAATTAATACTTTTACTATTAATCCTGTTCTAA